CAGTAAAGCCATCGCCCGCAGTGCTGGCATGTCATATGGGCTCCAGTTTGAGTCCTAGCTGCCATACTTCTAATCCCTGGGAGACCTGGAGGAAGCTCCTGGCCTCAGATCGGTGCAGCTCCAGCCATTGTGGCCAGTTGTGGAGTGAACCAGCGGATGGAAGACCTCTGTCTCTCTGCATCTCCTTCTCTCTCTTTGTAACTCTTTCAAATAAATGAATAAATAAATCTTTAAAAAAAATACAAAGTACACATTGAACATTTAGCAAGACAGACTATATTCTGGGCCATCAAATTACTCTTGATAAATTTAAGAGGAATTAAAACATACAGTTTACTATGAGTAATCAAAAGAAAAATTATAAATATCTTGAGCTATGTGAAAGTGAAAACACTACGTATCAAAACTTGTATGGGCCGGCGCCGCGGCTCACTAGGCTAATCCTCCACCTTGCGGCGCCGGCACACTGGGTTCTAGTCCCAGTTGGGGCACCGGATTCTGTCCCAGTTGCCCCTCTTCCAGGCCAGCTCTCTGCTGTGGCCAGGGAGTGCAGTAGAGGATGGCCCAAGTGCTTGGGCCCTGCACCCCATGGGAGACCAGGAGAAGCACCTGGCTCCTGCCATTGGATCAGCGCGGTGCGCCGGCCGTGGCGGCCATTGGAGGGTGAACCAACGGCAAAGGAAGACCTTTTTCTCTGTCTCTCTCTCTCACTGTCCACTCTGCCTGTCAAAAAAAAAAATAAATAAAACAAAAAACAAAAAAAAAAAAAAAAAAACAAACAAACAAACAAAAAACACTTGTATGAAGCACCTAAAGCACTGCACACGATGGTATTTGTATCACTGAAAGTTTAAAATACAAAAGATTTGAAAACCAATTATCTAAGCTTCTTCATGAAAATAGTACAGACGGGTAAATTCAACCAAATGAAAAGACTATGATAGGAGCAGAAATAAATAAAATTAACAAATGGACAAAATTATAGAAACCCAAAGTTAGTTCTAAGAAAATAGATAAATCACGAGTCAAATGATGAGGGAAACAAAAGAGGGAGTGTGGGCATCGGGCCCAGCAACTGAGCTGCTGCCTGGAACTCCGGAACCACACAGGAGTGCTGGGGTCATGACCTGGCTCCACCACAGCCAAGCCAGCTTCCTGCTAATGCACTGCCTGGGAGGCAGAGGACGGCTCCAATACTTGGTCCCTAGTATACCCACATGAGATCCAGACTGGTTTCCAGCTCCTGGAAACCAGGCCTGGCCCAGTACTGGTTATGCATGCAGGTGGGGAGTAAACCAGTGAATGGAAGATCTCTGTCTCTCTCCTCAAATGGAGAAGAAATAACTTTTTTTTTTTTTTTTCCCTAAGAGAAGACACATTATGTCTGTAAATCTACATGGATGTAATGGCAAATTGTACTAAATTTTTAGGGAAAATATAAAACCAATCCTATGTAGACTCTCCCTGAATAAAGAACAGGGAATACATCCAAATCCATTTCACATGGCCTGGAAACAATGTATCAACATCCGTTAAGACTATAGGCACAGGGGCCACTGTTGTGTCACAAGGTGTTAAGCTGCTACTGCAACACAGGCATCCCATATGGGTGCTGGTTCAAGTCCTGGCTGCTCCACTTCCAGTCCAGCTCCCTGCTAATGTGCATGGTAAAGCAGCAGAAGATGGCCCAAGTCCTTTATTTATAACAGCTTCATTAGAAATGATCCAGATGGCTATTCACAGGTGAATGAATAAACACAACATGGTGGAGCCACACAGTGAATGCTGCTCATTAAAAAAAGGGAGGACGGGGGGCCAGCGCTCTGGCGCAGTGGGTTAACACCCTGGCCTGAAGCGCCGGCATCCCATATGGGCGGCAGTTCGAGACTCAGCTGCTCCACTTTCCATCTAGCTCTCTGCTATGGCCTGCAAAAGCAGTAGAAGATGGCTCAAGTGCTTGGGCCCCTGTACTCGTGTGGGAGACCCGGAAGAAGCTCCTGACTCCTGGCTTCAGTGCAGCTCCGGCTGTTGCAGCCAACTGGGGAGTGAACCATCGGATGGAAGACCTCTCTCTCTGCCTCTCCTCTCTCTGTGTAACTCTTTCAAATAAATAAATCTTTAAAAAAAAAAAAAAAAAAAGAAAGAAAGAAAAAGGGAAGACAGACATGTGTTACACAAATGAATCTGATGAGTAAAGACAAAACACTACATAAGATTCCATTTACATGAAATTCTGCAACAAGTAAAACCACAGGGCAATCCCATTTTCCTATTATTTGAAATTGCAAAACTGATTTAAGTTCATAGATATGAGTGTGAAGTTTTATGGGGTAATAGATAATAGAATTGTCTATATCTTAATTATAGTGATGGCTGCATAAATTTACACATGCTTTAAATTTCACAGAATTACACACACACACAAAGTTAATTTCACTGCAACATTCATAATTATTAAAAAGGAAAAAAAGAAGGTAGTGTTACTTCTGATGGGGAGGGTTATGTTAACTATAAAGGACCCACAGGAGCTTCTGGAGATGAAGGAAATGCTCTATAATATTGATCTGGGAGAGGACTACATTTGGCTTTTGTGTATATCATTCACTGAGTTGTGTGTAAGATGTGTGCTTTATTTAAATTTTACTTCGGTAAGTGCTGTTATTCTGGAAATAAACCTAATGAACAGTCTAGTAAAAATAATATATTTGGCAAACATCTTTTTAAAGCAAAAAAAGAAATAATCCAATGTTTCCTAAAACTGAAAAGTTTTGATTCTTTAGCACACATATTTTAAAATAATTTTAAAATAATAAATCACCATTTTCATAATTAGAAAAATTAAAAACTTACCAGGGAAGGAGTATTAAAATTGATTTCTTCAAAGCAGCCATCAAACATTAAACTAAATGTTGGATCTATAGGGAAAAAATATATTCTGCTAAGCATTAAGATCATTAAACAAGTTTTTTTGGAATCCTGAATAATTCATAGGCTAAAAACTATCAAGCCGCTTCTCCATTTTAGAAAAAAAGAAATGGGGGGGTGGGGGCGCAGTGTTGTGGTATAGTAGGTTAAGCATGCACCTGTGGTGCCAGCATCCCATATGGGCACTGGTCCGAGTCCCAGCAGCTCTACTTCCAATCCAGCTCTCTGCTATGGCCTGGGAAAGTAGCCCCTGCACTGGTGTGGGAGACCTGGAAGAAGGTCCTAGCTCCTGGCTTCAGATCCGCCCAGTTCCAGCCATTGAGGCCATCTGAGGAGTGAACCAGCGGATGGAAGACCTCTCTCTCTGTCTCTTCCTCTCCCTGTCTATAACTCTACCTCTCAAGTAAATAAGTAAAGCTTTAAAGAAAAGAAAAAGACTTGGGGCAAGAGTTGAGTGCAATGGTTAAGTCATTGTGTAGGATGCCCACGTCCCAAGGAATGCCTGGGTTCAAAATGGCTCCATCTCTGATTGCATATTGTTGCTAATGCAGACCTATGAGGTAGCAGGTAATAACTCAAACTACCACCCATGTAAGGGACCCAGATTAAGTTCTAGGCTTCTGGCTTTGGACTGACCCAATCTGGCTATTATACATATTTAGGTAGTGAACCAGTGGATCTGTCCTCTGTCCTCTGCCTTTCAAATAAGAAACTAAAATCATGGCACAGTAGGTTAATCCTCTGCCTGTGGTGCCGGCGCCCCACATGGGTGCCGGTTCTAGTCCCGGCTGCTCCTCTTCCAATCCAGCTCTCTGCTATGGCCTGGGAAAGCAGTAGAAGATGGCCCAAGTCCTTGGGCACCTGCACCCGTGTGGGAGACCAGAAGAGGCTCCTGGCTTCGGATCGGTGCAGCTCCAGCCATTGCAGCCAACTGGGGAGTGAACCAGCTGACGGAAGAACTTTCTCTCTGTCTATCCCTCTGTCTATAACTCTACCCCTCAAATAAATAAAAAATCTGAAAAAGAAAACTAAAAATCAAAAACTTCATTCTTCATCTGTTAACTGATTTTAAAGGAACATTTCTAGCTAATAAGCACATTCTCAAAGTACTTTAACTGAAAGAAATTAATTGTACTAAAATTTTTGTTACCTACCACTTGTTGTCAGGATTACAGGTCGCTTAGTTGTTGCCATGAATGTCTTGATTGCATTTAAAAACCCAGCATCTTCATCAAAAATGACATCAACCTATATAGCATTTAGAATATTCATGTGATGAGTAACAATACACTTACTGGATAACATTCATATATATGTATATACATATATAAAAGAAACTGTGTCTGTTAGAGACAAGATTTATGAATTTCTGAACAGTATGAATTGAACTTACAATGAAAGTTTACAAACACCTTACATTATAAACAAATTTTAAAAATGACCAAATACAAACATTAAAATCAAAGAAATGTAGTCAACTATAACTGGCTTGGAATTAATCACAATAATTTCAATAATCACTTAATAAATTAGTGGCGGCCGGCGCCGTGGCTCACTAGGCTAATCCTCCGCCTAGCGGCGCCGGCACACCGGGTTCTAGTCCCGGTCGGGGCGCCGGATTCTGTCCCGGTTGCCCCTCTTCCAGGCCAGCTCTCTGCTGTGGCCAGGGAGTGCAGTGGAGGATGGCCCAGGTGCTTGGGCCCTGCACCCCATGGGAGACCAGGAAAAGCACCTGGCTCCTGGCTCCTGCCATCGGATCAGCGCGGTGCGCCGGCCGCAGCGCGCCGGCCGCGGCGGCCATTGGAGGGTGAACCAACGGCAAAGGAAGACCTTTCTCTCTGTCTCTCTCTCTCACTGTCCACTCTGCCTGTCAAAAAAAAAAAATAAAAATAAAAAAAAAATAAATTAGTGGCCATGAAGTACAGTAATTATCTTCCTGAAAAGTTCTTCCAGAGTTGATGTCATTTGTTTTAATTTCAAATAGATGCAAGTATTTCTGACTCTTTTTTTTTCTATTTTATAACCCTATAAGAAAACATACATCAATCTTTTTTTTTTTAAATATGGAATGCTTCATGAATTTGCGTCTCATCCATATGCGTCTCATCCATGCGCAGGGGCCATGCTAATCTTCTCTGTATTGTTCCAATTTTAGTGGATGTGCTGCCAAAGCGAGCACAACATACACTAATCTTTAAAATCAGTCTTTATCATGAGGTATCATGAATGTGTACCTTTGTAAGCCTACCTCCTCAAAAAGAATGAGAGATGTGGCATTTTTCCTGCTGGATTCCTCAGCTCCAAATTCTTTGACATTTGAAGTAGTTACATTTGCAGATTTCATCTGAATAATTTGTTTCTGCTCAAAAGTATTTTTAATTCCTGTATAAATAAATTATTAATATCTTAGGTAAAATCAACTTTTAATAGACCACTGGATATTTCTACAGAATAAGCTCAACTGAAATCCTTGATTAAAACTGAAACAGGGTTGTGGGCATTTGGCTTAGCAGGTAAGGTACTGGTTAGCATGCTCAAGAACCATACTGGAGTGCCTGGCTTCATCACCCATCTCCGGCTCATGACTCTGGCTTCCTGCTGAGGCAGATCCTGGGAGCCTCATGTAATTGGGTTCCTGTCATCCACATGGGGGTCTAGACTGAGCTCCCAGCTTCTAGCACACTCAGCCTGGCCACAAGGCACTGTGCACATTTGGGGGATGAATCAGCAGATTGGGGTGTTCTTTCTCAAATAAATGATTATTTTTCAAAAGCCCAAAACCAAAAATAATGGAAACAACAGTGAAGATGCTGGAGTACTGGGCTCAACTCCTGGCTCTGGTTCCAGACTACAAGCTTCCTGCTAACCCAGAGCCTGCTGGGAGCAATGGTGACGCAGTGATTGGGTCCCTGTCACCCACGTAGGAGACTCGGGTTGAGTTTCCAGCTCCCAGCTTCAGTTCCCCAGCTACTGCAGGCATCTGGGTGAGTGAACCAGCAGACAGGACACACTCTCAATCTCTCAGTCTTTCTCTCCCTCCAAAACAACAATAACAACAACAACAAAACCTGCCTGAAACAAAATATCGAAACTCCCCTTCTTCAGGATGTTCAGCAAAGGTGAGGCGGCAGCAGGAGTCCCTGAACGATGTTCTTACTTGTATGTAACAGCACAGTTAATATTAAAGAGGATTTGTCCATTCAACTTCTTACCTTTATTGTTTTCCAAAAGCGCTCCTATTTCTTCATTACTTTTTGGTTTAGAAGATACTTTAAAGTAATTTGCCAAAGTTTTCGGGGGCAGTGCTCGCTTTGGTCCAATACTTTTGGGCGATGATGGGGGAAGTTTTCTTGGTGATGTAATAACTTTCTTAGGGGAGTTTACTTTTTCTGTCAAAAGTAAATTCCATTTAGAGATAAATCCTAGAAAGTATACAGAGGGCAAAATAGATATCTATATTCTGTATTTCTTTTTTTTTGGGGGGGGGGGCCTCGATCAGAAGGACTTGGGCCACATATTCTATATTTCTACTATTACCGGTTAGAGATTAAAGACACAGAAATTCTTTTATTCTTACATTCAAATACTCTGCAATCCAAATACTGTTTTGTTTTTTTTTTCTAACAGTATAAAGAAGATAACCCCATCATTTGGAAAAGACATGCTTTCCAAGGCACTCAGCAGGGAGCTGGATTGGAAGTAGAGCAGCTGGGATTCAACCCAGCACCCACATGGAATGCTGGCAGTGTAAGCAGAGGATTAACCCACTATGCCACAGCATTGGACCCAAAAGTTTGGTTTTCAAAAATACATGTCAATTTTTATTTTTAAATGCCTAGCTAAATTTTACCAATATTACAATTCTGAAAAGCTTTGTACCAAAAGAACTATCTCCTTGGAGAAATAGCTAACCTTAGGTCTGGAACATGTTGACATGACAGAAAGCACAGAAAACATCAAAGAATACCAGGACAATCTCGAAAGGATACAGATTAAAACAACTAACTTCCTGCTAGCCAAAGACGGGAAATATGAGCAATAAACAAGGAAAACAATGGGACAGGCATTGTGGTTATATGCGTTAAGCCACTGGTTGAGATGCCCACATCACAAATCAAAGTGCCAGTTCAAGTTCTGACTACTCTGCTTTCCATCCAGCTCCCTGCTAAGGCACCAGGGAAGCAGTGGGTAACACCTCAAGTACCTGAGTTACAGCCACCTATGTGGGAGACCAGATGGAGTTCCTGGCTCCTGGCTTCAGCCTGGCTAGTCCTGGCTGTTATAGCCATTTGGGCAGTGAACCAGTGAACGGAAGATTCTCTCTCTCTCTCTGCTACTATATCTTTCAAATAAATAAGTAAATAAATCTTTTTAAAAAAAGTATAAAGAATCCTTCTTCCTCCTGATGGCCACAGAAAACCTCAAGGGCTTTTACACCATTCAGACCAAGAAACCTCTGGGCGTACAGCTTCCCCAAGTGAACACCGTTCCTGCACACAGACTAGAGTGGGACAGAACTGCCATGGGAATGTTATCTTTTTCAGGCCTCTCCTTTTAAACAAGTCCTTGGTGTTTCTTTTTTCCACCCTATCTGGACACATGTTTAAAAAAGCAAACAAAAGAGCCGGCGATGCGGCTCACTAGGCTGATCCTCCGACTTGCGGCGCCGGCACACCGGGTTCTAGTCCCGGTCAGGGCGCCGGATTCTGTCCCGGTTGCCCCTCTTCCAGGCCAGCCCTCTGCTGTGGCCAGGGAGTGCAGTGGAGGATGGCCCAAGTGCTTGGGCCCTGCACCCCATGGGAGACCAGGAGAAGCACCTGGCTCCTGCCATTGGATCAGCGCGGTGCGCCGGCCACAGCATGCCGGCCGTGGCGGCCATTGGAGGGTGAACCAACAGCAAAGGAAGACCTTTCTCTTTGTCTCTCTCTCTCTCTCACTGTCCACTCTGCCTGTCAAAAAATTAAAAAAAAAAAAAAAAAAAAGGCAAACAAAAGGCATGTTTGGATAAATAGCTAAATGGCAACAAACAATAGTATGAATACTAGATTGCTGAATTAAGGGCCATAGTCAAACATCCTGCATATTTAACAACTCAGTGAACTACAACCATAACCTATATATCTTTAAGTAAATGTGAGAACAAAAAAATAATAAAGAAAACAAGATGTGATTATGTTTCAGGCCATGACATGGTAATTGGGACTGAATTTAACCTCCCAATTGAATATAAGAAAAAAAGTGGACATAATACACAAAAAAATACTCTTCAAGAATTTGGCCATCATGAAACCAAAGGCAGTGATCCCTGAGAGACAAGAAACAAGGTACATGCTAGGATAGCACAGCTTATTGCCCTGAGAGAATTTCCAGCCACGGTGGGGAGGGTCAACGCAGCCCCAGTTCTCCTGAGTTGAGAGGACAAACAGGAGTCTGGCGGGCCAAGGCATGCAGTGATAATAGGGCACAATACAAAAAAGGAGACGGCTGTACAAAGAGAGCTCTGGAACTCTACAGAGTCCCCCTGGGGTCTAACTGAGTACTCATCAGTGAAAGGTCAAAGGAAAGAATCTCTGAGGCACACAGAGACCGGGAAATAGCTCCTACTCCAGCTAGACAGAATAGCAAACTTCAAAATTCATGGAGTAGTGGACACAGTACTCAGAAAGGTAAAATTAGGCCTGGAGTAAAGGCTGCTACTGACTTGCCTAATAGATCTTAAAAGACAAACTGTCTCCAAGAAACTTAACTGTGTCCCAGACCAAAGTTCAAGAATAATTACAGGAATACAGAAATACCCAGCGATCCAAGTGCCCACCACACTGAGTCCACAAAGTCATCAGGTATCCAAAGAAGGAAAATACAATCCATTATGAAGGAAAAAAAATCTAGTCCCTGGAAAAACCAACTCAGAAATTATAAAGATGGTAGAACTAATTCTACCATGAAAACAGTTATTACAACAACTAGATTCCATAGGTTCAAAAACCTAGAGAGAAAAAAGGGGCACCTGGTAAGTAGAAATAAAGAAGATAAAAAAGGACCCAAATTAAACTCCTATTGTAAGTGAAAACTTAACTAGATCGGACTGACAGCATACCAGATATGCAGATCTATGCACTTGTACAACAGCAATGAAAATTATCCAGATGGAAAGCACAGAAAGGGAAAAGACCGAAAAACTGAACAAGCATCAGTGAGCTATGACACAAGTGCTCTAAAGGACCATAACCCGAGTTGCCAGAGAAGGTGGGGAGGAGAGAAAAGCATTTCAAGAAATAATGCTTGGAGGGGCTGGTGCTGTAGCAGAGCGAGCTGACACCCTGGCCTGCAGGGCCTGCGTCCCATATGGGCTCCAGTTCAATTCCCAGCTGCTCCTCTTCCGATCCAGCTCTCTGCTATGGCCTGGGAAAGCAGTGGAAGATGGCCCAAGTCCATGGGCCCCTGTACCCGCGTGGGAGACCCGGAAGAAGCTCCTGGCTCCTGGCTTTGAATCGGTGCAGCTCAGCCTGTTGTGGCCAATGCGGGAGTGAACCAGCGGATGGAAGACCTCTCTTTCTCTGTGCAACTCAGACTTTCAAATACATAAATAAATCTTTTAAAAATAAAAAAGAGGCCGGTGCCGCAGCTCAATAGGCTAATCTTCTGCCTGTGGTGCTGGCACACCGGGTTCTAGTCCTGGTCAAGGTGCCAGATTCTGTCCCGGTTGCCCCTCTTCCAGGCCAGTTCTCTGCTGTGGCCCGGGAGTGCAGTGGAGGATGGCCCAAGTGCTTGGGCCCTGCACCCCATGGGAGACCACGATAAGCATCTGGCTCCTGCTATCGGATCAGCGCAGTGCGCCGGCCGCAGCGGCCACTGGGGAGTGAACCAACAGAAAAAGGAAGACCTTTCTGTCTCTCACTGTCCACTCTGCCTGTCAAAAAAATAAATAAATATATATATATATAATGGTTGCACTTTCTCCAAATTTAGTAAGAATTATAAACTCATATATTCAAGAAGCTCAATCAGCTCTAAGCATAAGCAATATGAAACCTACAACAAGGCACATCATAATCAAATTGCTTAAAATCAGTGATAAAGACAGGGCCAGAGTAATGATGTAGCACGTAACGTACGGCCCCCACCTAAGACACCAGCATTCCATATGGGCGATGGTTCAAGTCCCATCTGCTCCACTTC